GAGCGGTCGCAGAGAATGCCCTCTGGGAGGTCTGCGAAAGCCTGGTCTATCGGTTGCAGCAGATTCCTCCCAGAGGACTGAAGTGCGCAGGGGGATCATACAGGGAGAGGCAGTACCTAAGATAAGATGGACCCAAGCCATATAGGGCTTTAAAGGTTAACAGATTGGTTGTCTTTGATCCCAGTTCTAATATGCTCTTTTAAAATATTGACCTTTTATCCTTTTGAAGCAATTGTCTCATGAGGCAAGACTTTCTTAGTTCTGGAATCACAAAATGATCAATTTTTGTACAGACCATTATAAAGCCCAGACATTGGAAAAGTTACTTTTTTGGACTAAAAGTCCTCCAATCTCACAGACAGTGGTTGTGATGGTGGGGGGGATATTAGGACATGTAGTCCCATATTAATAGATGACTCATAGTCTGAGGAGGCAGTGGAAATACCACTTTGGGATGAGGTGCTTACACTTGTTCATAACATCAGTCCCTCCTGTTCAGGTCCTGTTGACATAATGAAGAGAGTTAAGTATTTGACTGACTTAAAGTACTAGAGTGTGGACTATTTGGGCCCTGTGGTCCCTTCCAATTATTCTATGACAGTGGCTCCTAAACTGTTACTCCATATTTTTGGACTTCAGCTCCCAGAATCTCTGACCATTGACCAAGGTGATTGAGGCTTCTGGGAGTTCAAGTCCAAAACACCTGGAAGACAAGAGTTTGGGAACCACTGTTCCACGACTTTGGCCAAATTAGGTTCTCATTTTGCAGCTCCTGTCATCATACAACCCTTAAAGCTCTCCATGTCACTCAGAAAGTTCTGGTCCATGTTTCATGTTACAAAATATTTGAGCAACATGTTTCCACAGAGATTTGGCTGTGCCTTTTCTATAGTGTATGAAGGATATTCTGTTGTGTGACCATCTGTTTGAATGGACCCCAGGAGCTTCACAGGTGTAAACATCCCTGACATATAATGCTATTCCTCCTCCTTTCCTGTTTTGCTTATTTCTCTTAAAAAAAGGTTATATCCCTCTACTCCTACATTCCAATTGTGAGACTCATCCCACCAGGTTTTAGTGAAGCCTATTATATTGTATTTGTTTTATTGTGCTAGGAGTTCAAGTTCATCTTGTTTATTTCCCATGCTCTTCCCCACTTGCTGCCTGTGTGAGGTTTTTTTCCTCCCACTGTTGGACCCTTGCATCATTTGCCTTGTTCCCTCTGTAACACTTTGACTATTATTTCCAGCCCATGATGTACTCCTGCCTTCCAAGATACTGTCTCCCTCCCCAACATGACTCAGTTTAAAGTCTTCCTGATCAAATGTTTGAGACTATTGGCAAAAATATTTCTTCCAACTGGTGTGAGATGCAGCCCATCTCTTGCTAGAAGTTCACCCTCATGGAACCGCAGCCTGTGATTTAAGAATCCAAATCATTCTTGGTGGCACCATCTACGAAGCCAGTTATTCACGTCTGCTGTCTTCCTCTCCCTTCCTGGACCATGCTTTCAACTGGGAGAAGAGATGGGATAACAACTTGTGTTCCAGTTCTTTCAGCTTCCTACACAAAGCCTCATAATCCCTTCTGATATTCATAAGACTGTGCCTTGCAGTATCATTGGTTCCCACATGGACCAAGAGGAAGGGGTAATGGTCAGTAGACTTGACAAGTCTTTTCAGCCTTGCTGTCACATCATGGATTTTTGCCCCAGGGAGACAACACACCTCTCAGGACATCTTGTCTGGCCCACAAACCACTGCTTCTGTACCCCTCAACAAGGAGTCCCCAACCACCACCACATACCTCCTGCGAGGCTTAGCAGTGGCTGTTCCTTGCGGTAGTA